AAAACTTGGGTATTTTATCATATTTTATGTTGCTACAAATTTAAAAAAAGCAACAAAGCCGTCTGAGGCAGGGCCTAGGATAAAATCACAGTCACACACAGCCTCTCATGGCGTACTGCGTTATTAAACCCCTGAAAGGTCTGAGTGCTGGTGACTGCTGACGTTACAAGAGTACATAATGCATATGGTATTATTGCCTACTATTCCCAAGGTAGGACCTTTGTCAGTTGTTCCTTCAGTTCAATGGCAGAAAGATCTGAAGAGCTTGAACAAAGTTATTGCACACCGACAAGAAAAACATGCTCATTTATAAACCACATTTTCAAAAGCTACATGCCTCCAACCATTTGACAGGCAGTGTTAATGTTTTCAGCCTGAATCACCTAAGTTATTAAACCACCATTTGACAAGTCAAAAGAACAAAGAATTCCCCAGTCTATGGGTTCATCAAACTTTATCTAAAGTCTACCATTTGCAAGGGTGGCAGTCATTTGTTTTAATGAAGGGCATCCCATGCCTATTAAAGACACAGCTCTGTCTAAACACCCGGGCCATTCAAGTCCATTTAACAAAGAAAAGGCACTCAGATGTAGTGTAGGATGTCAAGTCACATCAAGTTTCTGGCTCTCTTTTGGAACTTCTTCCTGAGACCTGACAGGGAACCAATACCGCAGGCCCATTACTGTCTGGCAATCATCATGTCCCATACCTGTTACAAAAGCTTCCATTTGCCTTTCACCAAGCGGCCTTGTTCAATGTGGGCATTATCCTAATGACGCTCCTGCTTTCACAAGGCAGTCACTGTGATTACCATCCACAGAACAGAACAGAAGGACAGGCCTGATCGCATCCTGTCAATCGATGCAAAGCGATGTGAACAGATTGAATATGCTGCATGCTGTGCAGAACTATTTCAGGTGATGAGCAAGGGGAGAGTGAGGATTACATGGAATGGAACACAGGGGGAGATGGCCAAGGCAGCTTCTCTGCCTTTTTCCTCTGCTTTATTTCGGGTTTAGGCTGAGTAGCTCACATTCCACCGGTGTTTTAAACGATCCCCGGTGGACCCAGCTAAGTCTTCAATGTTTATGAAGGTTTCTCCTCCCTTGCACCCCGCTGGAGAGCCTCACAGATTATTAACTAAAGAATAAACAAACTCTTCGCAGACAAATAAGACACAGACTGCAGTAGGGCAGAGACATTTTCAGGAGGTTAAACTCTGCCAGGAGGAGCACTGCTGCCCCAATCTCTCAAGATGCGTCGACTCTCTCCCTCCGAAAAATTCATCAAAACATACAAGCCGCCATATCAAATGAATAAAGGAAAAGGTGAGATAAAGTAAAGCACAGTGGGAAATCCCTGTTACACTGAAAACGCTATTGGAGAAAATGCATAAAAAAATACACAGCTGTCCATGGAGTTTTAAAAAAAAAGTGTCAGAAAAGGCTGCCAAGCAACAGTTGGCATGAATTTGGAGACCACAAATTTGTCATTGCTAATCAACACTTTGCAATCAGAAAAGGGTTTCTCCCATAGACACTGCTAATTCATTTTATACAGACTTGTATACAACACATATCTCAGTCGGGCCAGCTGGTCACACTGTTCACTGCCCTGACAGATTAGCTCGGCTACTTCTGACAGCAGGAAATAGTCTAAGTATGCAATTTAATACATATGAGGGCATCTAAACTAGGGCCTGTGAATATGCAGAGGAGACCATTTATATATAAGGCACACACTTTCACCACCCCCGAAAAAAATATTTGTCATGTCACTTCCATTTAATCAGCGGTAGAAACTGTGATCCTCTGCTCCTCCTGTTCCACTGCCGTGACAAATCTGCTTACTGAGTTGCATCCCATTTTCAGTTTTAAGGGCCACACTGATTCAGCACAAACCGGCCCATTTTTCCCCCTCCAACAACTTTCATTTCTTTCTGATTAATGAGCCAAACAACTCAGTTAGGAAGGGGGGGTTGGCTGCGCTTCCATTAAAGCGACCTACGGATAATTCAAAGCCACCATTAGAGGATGAGCCCTGCTTCAGATGCGTAATGGAAAAAGCGAATGTGTGCATACCTCTCAATACTCCACACTGGACTAGGAGAGAGTGTGGCAGTCAAAGGCGGTAGGCTCTCCTCCGTCTCAGCCACTGATGCAGCTCACTGGAAGAGTGGCACGTGGGTGCCAAAGCAGTCGCGCTCCGTGCCCATTGCACACGAACGGGGGGCGGGGGTGGGTCTCTCAATCCAGATTAAGAGATTTTAAAAATTGCTTTGACAAGCAGGAGAGCTGGAGGCAAATGCAGGCGCACTCCCAAGCACAGAAGAGTTTCTGTTAATCTCCCCCCGCCCAACCACTGTACAACTTGCCCACAGCTCTGGGGAGCACCTTTGTTTGCGATGGCAGCCGCAAAACAGGATGTGAGAGGGGGAAGCTCACGGAGAATAATAGCTGACTGACGTGGCAAGACAGTTATTACAGTAGCCTTTATTATGTATGATTGCCTTTGTCATTGTAAGGGGTTTTATTTTTTTTTTTATTTACTGAGAGTTTCTGTAGGAGTGAAACAGAGGTTATGCACTTCAAAATAAAACGGAGTGTGGTGTTAATGAATCAGCTCTGAAGGCCAAGGTTGATTGAATGAAAAGAACCCAACTGTCTTGGGTTCTCTTCACTGACCTTGCACAGTCCAGCGTCAATCCAAGCCACGCCCACTGCACTACAAAGTACATGAAGAAATGTAACAGAAAAGCCACAAGGCCGTGGTTAGAAATCACAGTATCATCGTCACAAGACCACATTCACGTGGGGGGTGGGAGTGACTACCTGTGTGACTGGGTTACTGATCAATTAGAAAAAACAACAAAATCCAATAACTCACCTCTATTAGGCTATAAGACACGGGGCTTGAAGAAAAATGCAGCCACACTGTAAAACACTTAATCGGCGGTGCAACACTGCAGCACACAGTTCATCTTCCACCTTCCTCATTTCCAAAAGCCATATATTTCCGACGCCTCAGTGAACACAGCATGCGCACATTTACTAAACCCATTAGCCTCGCGAGCCCGCAGTGACCGCGCCGAGGACTGAATGGTCAGAGGGCTTAAGTTCAGTCCTCAGAGCTCCTTCTCTCTCTAAGCCTGTCAACTTTCGGCTGCTGCCTGCAGGCTGTAACCTTCCTCAGGGTTACTCTCGGCACGAGCGAAGCGGGAAGCGCATCGACAGATCAGCTCAATCTCACTAAACGACACAAGCGCACCGGATCGTTAAAAACGACTCACCAACAGTAAGAAGATGTGCATTTCGGTCCCTCTCCTGCGTCTCCCGTAGCAGTTCCAAGAAGCCATGATGCCGCTGCCACGTCTGGCTGCGCAGGCGCAGTGCGCTCTTCCCAATCTCGAGGGCGCAGTGCATTATAGGAAATGGAGTTCAATGAAGCACACGGGGTGCTTCTTTTTTGCTTGATGTATTGCAGTTTTCGGGACAAGTCATTCATAAAATGTAGGTCAGAGGTCAAATACTCATAAAGAAAGAAATGTGTTTAAATAATGATTTAAAGCTTTATATTGTAGCATGTTCAAGAAATGTTTTGTTTGTTTTGGGTTATGCGTTCTCCAGCATTTATTGCATTTTGCAATGGACTCTTGGAGAAGGGGGGGCTAGGAATCGGCGCTGGGGTTTGTGTATGGGGGGGTTGGGTGCATGAGCTGGGCAGAGAATTGGCTGTTAAAATCTTTGACTGTGTACGGTTTGGCTGTGGCCACAACAGCTGGAAGATAAAGCACTATGACTTGTGTGAAAGCAGTGCCTCTTTTAATAGCGACGAACACTACAATATATTTAGCCTACATAGGTGAAGTCTTGATACCGGCTGCAGGGGAGGAGATGAAGACAGGAACAGGCGTGTAATAACCTGCAGGCTGTAATATCACAAGCTGAGCTTTTATCTTGACTTCCAACTGACTGTTTGTGACAGATCTCACCTAATCTACTTGTTCCATGTAAGTGTACACAAACTTATCTAAAAGTTTTTTTTTTTAAGTTTAGTAAAAAAGTAATAAAAATGTTTACCACAGTAAATGCTATTTGCTGATTTCAAGTTTAAAGTCTAATGAACAAACAAACAAACAACAAACAAACCAAAAATAAATAAATCAGTTTTTTTCAGGAAATCTGGTTTCTGTCTGGTTAATGGTTAAGTTTCACTTTGGTTTACTTTTAAGAGAAGAAAAAAAGAACAAAAATGTCAGATTTGTAAGACATTCTTTTAAAAATTATTCCATATAGTACCAAATAAGGGTCCATACCGCCTTTTATGGTACTATATAGAAAACCTTTTTGATAAGACTGTAGAGCAGCAGAACTTAGAAAGCATATTTAATTAACTTTACTAATGCAAGCTTAAATTTCAAAATTCACATTTCATATTGAATATAACTTACGTATAACGTGCAATGAAGCCAATGTCTGATCGTATATTCAGAAAATATTGTGATCAGTTTTGCCCAACACTGGTCACAACTCAGGCCTTTACAGTGCAGGCACACCTGCATTCACTGGCCTTTATAGTGTTATAATTTTATATTGATTTTTAATATCGAATTACATTTGTCAGTTTTCATAAAATCTATAAAAAGTTGCACCGGTTGTCTTAGTTACTTTCATCAAACCCTTAAAAATCGTAGCGCTGTTTTTTCGCAAACCCCAAACAGTTAATCAAGAGCTTCATAGATTATAGGAACAGACTATCGAGCTCGCACAGGGGTGATGATCCACACGGATCATTCACACCAATCCAAATATTCGTGTTAAGTGAGTGAAGATAATTCATATACATCTTTCAGACTGTACTAAATCGTATCCTGTCGTATTTTGCAGTACGGATAAGAAGTCTGTAATCAGAGGCTGATCTGGAGTCAGTTCCCCCCCTTTGGGTTTGAGGTGCAGCAGCCCTTGTAGTAGCCTGAGCTCAGAGCTCACAGCGCAGTGAGCAGCTGCAGGTCTGCTGGTGAAAAGCGTCCACATTCACACAGGGATAACAAGCAGGTCTACACAGGACGGACACAGCGCTGTATGTTCATACAGTACAGTTTCTCCCCACGGAAGGACGTCTAAAGGTAACTACTTTAATAGATAATATCTGCCGTGCAGTGGAGAATCTCTCTTTTGCTGCAGCTGGTTTAGACCGTTAGGTTGGCGACTTTACTGAACTTCTTGCTCCAGCGTTTCGCCGCTCTTCACTGCTGCTGTCTGCTTCTTCTCTGCCTTGTGGACATTTTAAACGTGTCTGTAACAAAATTAGGTTTACTTCAGCAATGAGAAGACTCATTAAGTTTATTAAATTATAGTAATATTACTGTTTTGAACTTCGACGTGGCTGTTGGATGTGTGCTTTCCCCACACATGGTTTTGTGGGATACTTTGCTGAGTGTTGTTTATAACGTATTTTCTTTGTTATGCACTGTATTTTGTTTAATGGCTGAATTTTTTGTTCCCTCCGGTTCCCCACACTCTTGGTCTAATGTTATTTGTTAAAAAACTCTAATTTGCTCTTCATTCTCCCTCACAAATAGAGTAATTAGTCTTCTTTAACAAAGCTGGAGGAGAGTAATCAGACAGCGTTTCTTTCAGGGCGATACGGATTTACTTGCCACTCACGTTCCGTCCTGGGATCAGAGGAGTTGTGGTCTTCTCACCTTTCCTACTACTTTTCAAACGAGAGCTGTTTTTTTTCTGTCTTCTAATCATGGGAGAGCTTTAATTGCAAGTGTGTTATCTGAAAACGCTTTGATTCTTTTCTGCTGAAAGGCATAGTCAGGACTGAGCTGTATTGTTGGGTCTTGGAGTAGGGTTCTTCGAGAGGAGTGATGTGTACAGGATGAAGTTTCTCACTGTATGTCCATGCTCTGTGACTTCTTGCTCTTATATCAGACATTAGTCTGTTGTAATTAGGTTCAAACAGTCTGAATCTAGTGCTATAATATAATTCTGACTTATTTTAAGCCATTGGACTCCTATGTTGTGGGAAACAGGTGGATTTCCAGATGCTTCCTAACTGCTTGTTACAGACTTATGTAGGCAGCTCCTTTAAATCTGGCTACTTATGTTCTTTCAAGATGGATTAATTAGTGTTTTAAGCACATGGGTAACCTGGAGTAGTCCTTGAGTGGACAGCAAGCCTTGGGAAACCAGCAAACCATATACTCTCTTAGAAGGAAAAAGGCTTTTACACATGAAAATCCGGTCATAGGATTTTTTGATATGCTGTGCTCCAGCTTTTTATTTATAGTTTAATTATAATGCGGGTCAAAGTGCTGTCTGCTTCCCCTCGCATAATTTGGTATGAATTTGAATTTGAAACAAGTTCTTTGTGAAAAACAGTGACAGTGATGCTTACATATGGATTGGAATAGTCTGAAGCAGTAGGGGGCACTGTTGAGTAGTTTTTGATGGCTGAGAGAGGCTGAAAGTGGTGGTGAATTTCACTGGTCCAACTAAGATATGGGCTCTCATCATGCGAAACACTCTGCACACAATAGAGGAGTGAACACGCTGCAATATCTCTGTCTATTGGCAAAGACTGTCTGGTCATTATGAGTCTCTGCGAAGAAAATGATTTCTTGGAGAACACGTGTGCCCGGGCAGGTGGACTGACCTGCATAACTGTGCTTTCAAGATCCTGGTTATAGCTTCTATCTAATCCAACATGCAGCTCTGCCTTAAAATAACACCTTTTGATCTTAACCTGGAACCTCATTGTCTTTCATTTAAGTGAAAACGAGAGAGAAAATTCTGCTGAAGTAAGTGTTGCCTGCTCCGTCAAGGGGGTTTGGGGAAATAATGGTATCTAAACCTGAGCGCTCATTTGCACTTCACATACTTCTATCAATATTTATGTAGTCTGTTTCTCCGAGCAACTTAATGTATGATATGGTAAGAGCCTTTGTTGCTTCATTCTCGTTGTTTTACATTGATGGACACACATTGGCATCCCTTTGTTTTGTCTCTTTAGGCATAATTTGCTTTGAAACTTTCATGGGGAGGCATATAAGCAGCATCTGTCAATTAGAAGTGAATCATATGCACCTTTACCTTGTTTTCTATACATTGTCGTGCACTGATTATCCTGACTGCACTGCCTGTTCATGCTTGCCTGCAGCATATTGGCAATATCCGATGGAGACGAGAGTAATAACCTCAAGGAGGTCTTTGTAATCATGTTATGACTCATTCTTAGGGGGCTGACACTTCACAATAGATTGCCATCAGTCATCTGCAATCATCTACATATGAGTCTATTATGTGCATGTTTGCGTTTAAGGCTGCCTCTTAACATCTCCCAACCATGAGTTCATTTGTCCCCAGGTTCCCTAAAGCCTTTATATGCTGGCTCTAAACAAATGTGCTTGACAAAAGTATTAATATTCATATAGCCCCCTGCTTTTGCCAGTTGATTCATGTGTTTTCCTTGGTTCCTGAGGCCTCTCTTTCAGATGTAAAACAGGTTTTCATCTGTAATGAACTTATGAGGGCTCTCATCAGCTTGAAATGCGTAAGCCTGCTGTTTAAAGGTTCTCTGAAAGCAAATATGCCTTTTCTGGACAGCTACGACAGTCCGGTTGCATCCACAGTAATGAGACCTGAGTAGAGCCCGGTGCCGCCAGTCGTGCTTGATATCACCGTAAATAATTTCTGCTCATTAATATAAACTCAGGAAGTAAAGACTCAATGGCCCTCATCGAAGTTGTAATGGTGCATATTTAAAAACATGCCTTATGAATTATTTCCGTCACTGAGACATCAATCGAGAGCGGACAATGGGAATAAAAGTTTAATGGAGAACTTGATCTGAATGGCAGCAGACATGACTGCATGGAAAAGGATGCCGGAGCCTGTAGCTCTTCCTCCGTGCTCCACCAGAGTCATCTAGCTTTAAGAGAAGAAAGCTTAGAGACACAGCATAAGCGGTGGTGTGCAGCCAGAGAGGCGAGATAAAGTTCTCTCTGAACAGCTTTAAAAGCTCTTAGAGATCCACTCAGTCTCTCAGCCCACTTTTCAAAACTTCAGGTCAAACCACTGCATATATATATTTTAGTAAGTGTTATAGCAGGGACGGTTGTGTGCTATAGTTTTAAATAGGGTTGGCAACACTTCGCTTCTTAGTCATGATCACAGTATTGGCCTCTAGCATATCATAAAAAGATTGCTGTGTGCAGGAATTTCCATTTTCATTCCATAACAATGTGCTTTGTTTTATTATAGTCATAACATTTTTTCTAGAATTGCAGATACATACCAGCTCACTCAACAAGGCTGCTAAAATTAAGGGTATTAGTTGGGACTTTGTCCCCATTTTTCAGGGAAGGGTTTACACTAAATGTTTTAACTTTGCTGTGAGGATTTGATTGCATTCAGCCACAAGAGCAGTAGTGAGGTGCTGAAGTTGGATGATTAGTTCTGGCACTCCAGCTCATCCCAAAGGTGTTGGTGGGGGGCGGGTTTATACACCTCTAGTCGACCCTTTGCATTGGGTATGGTGACCTTATCGTCCCATTCTTTTCTGTGGAGATTATGCAAGATGTCTGTACAACTGAACACCTGTATCAGCAACGGGTGCATCTTAAAACAGCTTAATTCACAGGTTGGATACTTTCTAATACATAGTATATGCCTAATGTGATCTACTGTATCCAAGCGTGCGGTGCACCTCGGTATCTAAGATGAATTTACGTTGTATCTGCTTGCCAGAACCCTCTGGCGTGTTGAAAAACCGTTCTGTTTATGGGATTCTGTGTTTTTGTTTTGTTCTCTTTTGTGCTTGTGGTTTTCACTACAGAAACAACCACATCCTTCTCTTCCTACAATCACAAACTCTTATGTTGACCTGTGAAAACACTTCCCAGAGTGTTGTATTTTTGGATGTGAAAGGTGGTTGTGTACTTGCCCAAGCTGTTGTTTTCATCTAAGCACATTTACTGTACTGTTCAGTCCCTGTAAGTTTAGAATGCAGAGCAGCATATGTTAGAACAGAAGCTGTGATAGTGCAGCATAATAGAAGTAGACACTCCCTCAAATTCCTGTTTTCTCTCTTTCTGCACTCACTTACCTTAGTCACTTTGACTAAGTGTCTTGTGCACTTTTGGCCCTGAGGGCTACTCTCTGTACAGAAATGGGTTATTGTTAAGGATACTGTTAGTGTGTTTTTGGAACAGAAGACAAATAAATCAGTTTAGTATGGTGACTCTGTTGTCCACAACATTTTCCTGGACTGAATAAACATGTAACTGAAGCTAGGGGTTGGCAATATGGCAATAATGTGTCAAGATACTGCAAGACAGTTTGATAATACTTGTCATATATCACCATATTTGGTTTTCCTGAGGTTTGATAATGCTGATGCTGATATCCTATATTTTACATGTGCTTGTACGCTGAAGCCGATACCAATGCTAATACATAAACATGGACAAAATATAGAAGTTTATCACAATAACTATAAAAATCATCATATTGCCCACCCTTATCTGAAGCTATGCCAGTTTGGATATTTGGCAGCAAATAGATTCCCATCATTTTACTAAAGGTGAGTTATTCTGAAGGCAAAATGAACATGTAATAAATGAGAGTTTATCAGTGTTTTGAAGAATTATATTAAAAAATGGTGACATTCTTACAGTTTCTCTCAAAACCTGGTTATTAGTTCTGTACAGCTAAGGTTGATAGTGCTAGTAGTGAATTCAAGCCCTTTCCTTAAGAACAGAATTTCTAGAGCTTTGGAGTAGTCTTGCAGTTGGGTGTGAATTGTTGTTTTGATGAAACCCCTCATTATTTTGCTTGCCATCAGGACTCCAAAAGATGAAATTGCTGTGCCTTTGGCATGAGCGTCATACTGTCTTTTGTTTGGCTTTGTTATGCCAGTTGGGATGGCACGGCAGGGTGGGAGGAATAGACTGTTTCTCAAGCAGTTCAGGGGCTTGATTTGGAAAAAAATCTTGCTGTACACTAAAAATAACAAGGTGGGAGGAGATTGAATTATTGTCTGGGTCCATTCAGTTTCGATGGGGCAGGGCTGGGTATTGTTTATGAGTGTGCAGCAGTGTGAAGCGCTGTGTGGATG